AATGAAAATCAGGTCGCTGGGACCTACTACTATAGGCTACAGGGCTTAGGGTCTATAGGGTTAGGATATTAAGCCAAGAATGGAGAACCAAATGGAAAAGAGGATGTTAGACTTTCAGTTTACAGTTTAGGAATCCGGGCTGAGGGCCTACCATCAGGTATGGGGCATGTGAAGAGTAGGAAGGGATTCTAGGGGAAAATGCCGGTTCCACTACTTAAGGCTCACATAGATGTTTCCCAAAGCCCTAAACCCGTTTGTCCAAACGAAGGGATATAGCAGGATCATAGGGGATCCTAATGCATCAACGGGATGGAATGGGAGTCATCGTGCTCTCTATAGGGTTTAGAGTTTTAGGGTTTAGGGTTTCTACATGGTATGCTGTCAAGAGTATGGTGAATGGTTGGGGTGCTTTAGATATGAGAGGCCGCCTTTTAATCGGCACCCTCAAGGGGACTAGACGTTTGACAACTTGAAACACGAAGAATCGTACCTATGTGAGTCCTTGCGTCCGATGCTAGAAGATGCAAAGCAATGGTCTTGAATATCTTTAGATTTGACATGATTCGACTGAGAGCTCCATGTATGTGCCATAGAGTTTACATGGAAGCCACACTGAGAAACTCACCCTAAACCTGAAACCCCAAATCCTACACCCTGAACCCTCAAACCCTAGACCCCAAACCCTAGACCCTAAACCTTCAACCCTAAACCCTACTGTCCCATCGCAGTTGCCTCTCAATTAGCCGTAGTTATCCCCTAAATCCTAAACCCTAGCTCAATTCAGGGGAATAAACCCTAAGCCCTAAACCGGACGTGAAAAGGGCCGTTTAAAGAAATAACGTGATAACGGGAAAAAGCATTAAACCCGATTGTCTAACCCTAAACGCCTGAAAGCCTAACCTAATTGAGGGGAATAAGCCCTAAACCCTAAGCGCGGGAAGCCTTGCAGCGGATGTTACGATGGATATTACAAATCAGGGGTTTGCCAGAATTAGGGCTAATCAGGAATTTTAAAGTATTTCGGGATCCATATTGGGAACCCTTATTTGGGAAACTACCAAATCCTGCATGACCTTAAGTTCCTTCTACCCTGGAAATTATGGTTCTATAATTATGAGGCTATGCAGGATTTTTTGGTATCAACGGTAGTACCTAAACCCTAAAACCCTTAACCTTAAACCCTTAAACCCCCAAACCTTTAAACCCTAGACCCCTAAACCCTTAAACCCTTAAACCGTTAAACCCTAAACCCTGGAGGTGGAGTAGGGGAGCCTATAGTCCAATGAGTTCATCACAAGGCTTCTGCTAGCATCATTTGCCCTTAGGGTTGGGCCCCCATCCAAGAATACGGCGGATACGAACACATCCTGCACGACCCTAAGCATGCTAAACCTCAAGAACTATGATATTGTTGTATACTTTAGTCATGCAGGATTGTAGTATCAACATTGGGTACTGCGCCCCTCAGTAACAGTTGGATAACAACTAAATTATGATTATATATAGCCCTTAATAGGACCCCTAATATAGACTGTTACTGGGTGGGGGGCAGTACCGAAAGTTAGTGGTAAATAAGAGAGCTGCAGGGACCCCAGAAGAACTGTCCCTTGTGGTCCCTGATTATGGGTTGGGGTCTGACTTAAGCCATATCTTGGGAACTGCCCCCCCCTCAGTAACAGTTGGATAATAATTAGAATATAGTTATATATAGCCCTTAATAGGACCCCTAATATAAACTGTTACTGGGTGGGGGCAGTACCCAAGCCATATCCGTGATTTTGTGTGTGGTTCATGGTTGGTTTTCTTGTTATCTGTTTCTTGCCATGTTGTTTTTTGACCAAGATATCGTTCGTAGTCCTCAGAACTAGACTTGTCGATGATTACTACTTGAGTGGAGATTATTCTAAGGGTCATTGTGGATCTTGTTCCTCTCTTCTCATCTCATACACGTGTACGATGTGCGGGGGCCCCCTAAAAGAGTCCATGTGGAAGAAGGAGCAAACACGTTGAGTTGGTGAACATGCTCCCGAATTTCAGTGAGCACAGTTGGAGTAGATTCTCCCGGAACACCCTCGACGATGAGATTGAGCAAGGAAGTCTAAACTCCTAGTACTCCCTTGATAACCCCTATGACAATGATATTCTCCTATATATCACCCCCTTTAAGGAGTTTAGACCCTAAACCCTAATCCCAAAACCCCAAACCCTGAACCCTAAACCCAATATATTTCCCTATATATCACCCCCTTTAAGGAGTTTAGACTATAGCTCAAATGGGCCCTTGCACCCAAAATAGTCATCAGCTCCAAAACTACCTGCTTAGTCCACATGCGAATTTGCGGCTTTCCTAAGTTAGGGGTACCTTTTCGAGGGTTCCAATAATGAGGATTATAGCATTTTGGTGGTTGTACTGCATTATAGGGGGATATTATCCCCAATATAACCTCAATATATACCCTATTATATTATAGTAGTTTCCATTTTCTTTTCCATTATCCCAGGGTCCCTTTATTTTGAAAACCTCACCAGTTGAGAACTGCTTGTAGGCTTGGAGCCCTTGCATTTTTGCTTCCTAGGATTAACCCTAAACCCTTAAACCCTAAACTCGTTCTGACTCCTAAACCCCTCAACCCAAACCCAAAACACCTAAACCCTAAGCCCCTAAACCCTAAACTTTAAAACCCTAACATGAGCTTTTTGTTTGTGGCGAAGGGCACGACAGGACCAGTTGCTAAGGAGATCCTGGCCCTTTCCAACTACCCAACTGGGTTGCTGTTAAGGATCTTAACAAGGAGCCCAGCCAAGGTCTTCCCCCCTACATGAGCTATAGTCTAAACTCCTTAAAGGGGATTCTATAGGGGTTATATAGGGAAGTATTATAGGGCCTATTAAGGCCTTTTAAGGAGATACTAGCAGTTTAGATTATAGCTTAAACCACCCACTCTGTAACCCCACTCAAGCCGAACTTGTTCGGCGGTTGAGTGCTCAGGCAGGCATACACCTATGCAGAGCTTGTCAAACACTACAAGGCACTACTTCAGTGGGGTAGAACAGCAGACTGAAATTGAGCCCGAGCTCCGGGTGCCAAGAATGAGTTGTAGCTACTTGTGCTTAAGGGGGAGTGGGGGAGTGAATATAGGGACCGCAATAGGGGTATATATGTGTTTTATACAGGGATTCTTATAGGAATCCACTACCCCACTCTCCATTGAGCAAAAGTAAGTTTTGGGATACAGGTGTCGGGATTGAGTTGAGGGTAAGTGCTGTCTGCGGTATCATGCAGAAGATGGCAGGCTCTACGAATCCGGTACTGCACGACAGTTTGGCCCGGCCCACTGCCCTCGATAAAACAAGCCTCCATCCGACAGTGAGGAGACTATGGAAGCAAAGATCATCACACACCGTGCCGAGTACACTTTTTGGCTGTGTTGATCCTCGAGGCCCATCCAGATCTGAGCCGCGGGCCGGGCGAATGTCCCGTGCACCAGGACGAGCGCGAGACTAGGGGCAGTACGAGGGTGTAGGGTGAAGTGGATGTTCTGTGAGAATAGTTTTTGTTCTCTGTCGTCTATAATCCTAATCGCCAGCTGAAATTGCACTTTCTACCATTGGTCCGAGGAACTTACAACGAAGGGATTGGGACTTTAGAATCGAGAGTTGGGTTCTGGGCTCTGGAGACTTGCTGTAGAAGCCCGGATGACGTCTGATATTCCAAAGTTATGCCCTTCTAGCCTTTATAGACGCGAAGCAGGACATGCCCAAAACTTTGTTCTAGTTACCTAGGCCCTTACCTTATTTTGGGCAGCTTGAGTGAAGGGGTCATCTACTGCAGGAGTTAGCCGAATGTAGGCTTTTGGCAAATCATAACAACCTGACTCGAACTTATCTTGAAATCGTCTCAAATTGGTTAAAGTTCAGGTTCTCAAATTCCTGGAAATCTAGAAGAGGATTTTGGTAACCCCGACCCCCCAAAATCAGCACCCTGTAACTATCATGTGATTATGTTCGCATCCTGCTTCGAATCAGGTTTGCCTAAATGTTCTTGTTATCAACAGTCTGACCCAAGTGTTCAGCCCAAGCCTGTAACCCTGATTCCTAGAGGTTTCGCGAAGCAATGCCTATACAGCCTCTCCTATTGATCTCCATACTAGTCTTTTCCACGTTCATGAAAATCTCCGACTACACCCTGCCTCTTGGACGTGACAATTACACTAAACCCTAACACCCTAAACCCTAACAAAAGTCATCAGCACCATTCCTGCAGAATCCACCCTCCGAAATCCCCTCGAAGCTTACATCCCAGGATTCAGTACTCAGGGCCCATTATGCTTGCTGTTGCGCGGGGGTTCAAAGTCAGCCCCGGCATTTCTCATAATACTTGGAAGGTAGGGGGATTCAGTAAATCGGTTAACACTGGGGAAAACTGGGATTGAATCTACTACGTCACCATGACCCTAAACCTTAAAAAACAGTTTGTTGTCTTTAAATTCTAGATTCTAGATAGACCCCACGGTCTAAATCCTAAGCCCTAAATCCTACACCCTAGAATAAAAACTCGCTGTGCAACCTCAGCCCTCGCACCGCAACCCTGGTTTAGGATTGAAGGTTTAGGGTTCTGGGTTTAGGGTTCATTTGGGGTTCAGGGTTTAGGGTTCTGGGTTTAGGGCTTAGGGAACCTTCAGCCCTAAAAACTAAACCCTAAACCCTTCAACCTAAAACCCAAACCCCCTTCAACCTAAAACCCAAACCCTAGACCCTGCAAACCGAAAATCCCAAACTCTAAACCCTTGAATCTTAAATCCGAAGCCCTGAATGGCCCTAAAGCCTTCAAACCTCAAATCCCATATCCTGAACCCTTCAAGCCTTAAATCCCAAACCCTAAACCTTCGAACCTTTAATCCCAAGCCCTACAGTAAAACCTTGAAACCTTCAATTCAATCCCAAACCCTGACTTTTCAACCCAAAGCAACTTCAATGCGGCTCCTGGTGCTCCCTCGCAGGGTGTCTACCCGGAGGAGCAGGTGGAGGAGCTTTGGCGCACCCGCCGGAAGACCCAGTTCAGCCATTGCCTCTCCATACTCTTTAGTAGGTAGGACCTACCTGGAGGGTCAGAGGGGCTTAGTTAGTAGGTTCATGATGATAGAGAGAACTGCGGCTTATAAGAGCTTATATTAACAAAACCTTAGTCCCCATGACCGTCCAAGTACCGTTATATCAACAATATGAGGGGTATGTACTTCAAGAGAATATAAACATGGTGGTAGCAATCGGAATGATATATAGCCATGAGAACAAGAATGATGACCCCGCGATGTCCGAAGGATGACTTTTTCGCGGTGTAGGGTTGGATTATGTGAGGGAATATCTATCCCTAGGGAGTAAGCCGGGTATAATTAGCAAGGGTACAGTATGCTTGCCGTTTGTAAGGGGCTGGGTTGTTGGTTTGCACGATTTAGGGAAAGACTCAGGCCGTTATCCTCGCAATGAAGTTTCTCAGGGTACCGTGTGGAATCCGCAAGAGTGAACCCATTAATCTGCCCTTAGGAAACTACATTGGCGGCTTTGTCCGAGTGTCACATTGCGGTTAGAAGCAGTACTGCCTTGCGTGACTACTATGATTCTCACTCTCACGACTTGTCTGAGCACTCATACAATTCAACTTCGTTACAGCTCCCCTGACCGTCAAACCAACCTACCCGAACAAACACACCTACAGTGCCAGACCGGATGACCAAATGAAAGCCCCAAGCCAAGATGAACCTGAATGCCGAGAACCCATGGCTCAATCACAGTTTGAAAGACATGTGATCATCGTCAACTGGCTTGATCCGTCTGTATCTCAGAAGGCTGAGGAAAACTTTGTAAGGAGAGCTGGAATACTGGTAACCCAACCCATGCTGAGCAAACCAAGACTAACCGATGACCCCCATAATGGAGTATCAAAAGGAAAAGGCAGTGACAAGGACATGGAAGCTGCTGTTTAAGGTTTCGGGTTTAGGGATATCAACCCGATAACGCAGAATTATGGAATAGAAAACGGAAACCTTCCATGGGGTTACATGACTTACCTCTGTTTCGACGGAGTGAGAAATGCCCACTTATAGGGGGTTGAAACTGACTACTACAAGGATAGCTCCCTTCATTCCTTGCCATCCAGAGGTCAGAAACCCTAGGTAGGGGAAAAGAAAATTACAACCAGAAATGTCCTACAGGCTCTTTTAGGTAGCACTTAGATATTAGTGCTCGTACAATGCCTACCTTAAACCCGAGGCCTACTTCCCCATATCGCCCTGGCGTCAATTTCAATTTCCAAGTTCTTTTCCACTTGGTTCAATATTGGGTTAAGCAACACTATACAATCGCTAAATAACCTTGTATCTACAATATACATGTATGTATACCTCCAAGAAACCTTGTATAGTTGCGTCTTAGCACTGTCTAATTCCGAAATAGCTTTGTATGATTCCTAGATAAGCCTATACAATTCCAAAGTAATCCTATATAATTTTGAAATAGCCTTCGTATATAAGCATATACATAGATATAAAGTACTGATTTGCCTTCTATGATTCCTATATACACCTTAATTTCATAAGATACCTGAAAAGTGCTATATACTTCCGATATGACCGTATAGAATCCCTAAATAACTTTGAATAATTCCGAAACATATTTTGAGAATCCTTAACTAACCCTGTATACTTCCTGAAGAACCCCATAAAATTCCTCAACAGCCCTATACAATCCCTAACTAACCTCATATACTTTCTATATAACCCGATAAGATCCCTAAACAACCCTATCTAATCCCTAACTAACCATGGATATTTCCTAGAGAACCCTCTACGATCCCCAGAATTTCTTGCCCCAAGGCATGGCAAAGACTCGACCTCGGCTGTTGCAAGACGCTTCTGCGGAGAGCCGGGCCGATCGCAGCTTTGTGCTGAAGGCATCGGGGTGCTTCAGGATTTAGAGCTTAGGATTTTTGTGTTTAGGGTTTAGGATTCAGGGTTTCGGATTTAGGGTCTAGGATTTAGGTTTTAGGGTTTAGTACGTAGGGTTTAGGGGATGAGGGTTCACAGTTTAGGATTTGAAGAAAAGGCTAGGGGCCTGCAGCTTCTAGTTTTACCGTACGGCTTGGAGATCAGGGGCTGAGGTGTACGTTTAGGGTTTAGGGAACATGGGTTAAGGTTTAAGGTTCAAGGCCTAGGGTTTAGGGGGGTCGGACATGCGTGTTTGGTTTTGGGAGTGCGAAAGTTGAGGCTCTTCTTATTAAGCTTCAGGGTGTCGGGATTGCTTCACACCAACAAGTAAACTTCTTTGAAGCAAAGTTTGTTGGAAACTGGGATATTCAGTCTGTACCATAATTACTACTACAACCCCATAAGGAGTATCCCAACAGGTAACTAGTGAAAGCCCTGCGTGAGTCTGCAAGAATTTGCCCAAACCCAGACAACCAACCCATCACTTTCAGCCCTGCAAGCCCTTTGAAGCCTCCAAATCCTGGTGACATCCACCAAAGATGCCTTTCATACTGTCGTCAGAAGTAGGAGCCTGTCAAAGTGGTGGAAGATCTGGACCTCACAGGGTTCAGGGTTTAAGGTTTTAGGGCTTAATACATACCAGGCTTGAGATACTTGGTTGCCCCCCCCCCCCGAAAATGACAGACAACAAGGAGTTCTTATGACCTCAACCTTCGAAGCAAGAAGCCACTAACCACTACAGAGTCTTGTGAGTGGGACCTTGAGCACGTTCAAACTCCGAACCCCACAGATTCCTCAGCCCTTTGCAGCCTAGACCATGTAAGCTCTCAGCCTTGGGAGCTAGAACCCTCTAAGCCCCTGGAGCAATCCCATTCCTAAATCAACACCCTGGAACCCTAAAACCCTAAATCCGAAACCCAAAACCCTCAGAGCCCTAAACTCTCCGAGAGGCGGTGCGACTGCGCGGCCCTGAGTTGCGCCATGCCGCGCCCGAGTTCAAAAAGGACAAAGAGGCCGTCCTTTATGGTAGTGGAGGGCCTGGTGTTTAGAGTTTACGATTTAGGCTTTAGGAATTAGGGTTTAGGGTTTAGGGGTTTAGGGTTTAGGGTTTAGAATTTAGGGTTTAGGATTTAGGGTTTAGGGTTCAGGGTTTAGGGTAGAGTTTGTGGTGCAGGTCTGGGGCTCAGTGCCTCGGATCAAGGAGTGATCTTCTGAGACATCGCCGAAATTCAGGGGGCCTCTTGTAGGTTACTGTTGAGGAACTGAAATTACGTTACCAGAATATGGGCATGTAGTGAGTTGTAGGATTTCCTCGGTATACTCATTTACAAAAGGTTCCTCAACAGCAACCGAGTGCAAGAGTGACCTGGCCTTTTGGAATGTAGGGATTTCCCAAAATTAGGGGTACCTTATTGGGGGTCTCCGTAATAAGCACTATAGTATATTGGGTTTATTTTTGGGAAACTACCATGTCCGTCTGGAGTCCTGGAGAGGTTTTGCACCGGGCTTTCATGGTGAGCATGCACGAGCTATGGTTGGAATACCGGAAGAAACAGCCTGTTTCCCTAAGGGAATCCCCAACAGGCTCTCTGGGGGCTAGTGCCCTCTTATCTGGGGGCTACAGATGGCTCCATGTTACTTGTCCTTTACGGCAGGACAGTTCCTGAATCCCATGAAGATACTTCTGGATTTGGATCTTGGGGGGGAAGCGCCTTGGTAGAAATCTGTAAAACCGTTCAACCCTAAACCCTGACCTTGTTGGGCAAATTGCCGGCTTGGTCTTAGGGATCACCATGTCAGCGAGTCAAACATCAGGGCTTCCATCATCTGGAACCCAGTCTCCACATCTGCCTATGAAAGGGTTGCTTGGTCCTAACCCCCTCCCCCTATCATTAACCGTATACCACAAAGGGAAAACTTAATATTGACTATAATATGTATTGGGAGTATTGGGGGGAGGGGGTTTGAATATTGGGGGTGGGAAATTGAAAGGGTTCATGACACAAGGTCGGACCAAAAAGCCCAAACCCCTGAGCCCCTAAACCCTGAACCCCTAAACCCTTAAACCCCTATACCCTAAACCTACCCCAAAACCCCAAAACCTCCTGGGTCCAAGGTAGGGGCCCGAGTAATTTGTAATGGTGTTGTCCCTGGTTCCTTATATGAGCTATAGTCTAGGGTTTGGGTTTAGGGTTTCGGGCTACAGTCTAAACTCCTAAAAGAGGGTTATATAGGAAATTATTGTACGGGTTACAAAGGGGGGGGTACGAGGAGTTTAGACTATAGCTCATATGGGGATTGGTCTAAATTC